AGTGAGTTAACAGGTCCATTGGATCTAGCGATTCAATAAGATGCCACAAGTATCAACCAAGTCTATCGCAATTCCTCGGGGCTAAGTCTGGGAAAACAGGTTTAAAGGCACCAAGTTGGTCATTGCTATTATTTGATTTGTAAATGTGTCTTATTATGATAGCATGTATGGGGCCATCATGTCAAGACCTTGTTTTCTAAAATTATTTGCACAGAGAATCAAGCTGGGTAAAGGAATGTTCCGTATTCATTCTAACCTCAGAAATGTGTAGTTAATAATATCAGGGGAAACACTACCTGCCAATTACCAGAGCCTCCACTCACCAATACCACAGCAGGTGCATAGGCTCTGGGTTTAACCGTATAACTCAATCCAGTTTAACAGGGAAAATAAAATAAAATATCTGTATCAAATGTTTCTAATGTCTAAAATGGTCAAGCATGTATTGCATTTCATTTTTGTTTAAAGGCACTAGAATGTGCTACGCAACGGTGATAGATAATTACAGGCACGGGTTTGATATATTTTGCATTTGTGTTTGTGTCTAAACACCTACTGCCTTCTTGATAAACTTCAGTTAATGTGCTTTCAAGTACTCAATGTAATTTTCTGATTAAACACATCCACCAGACTCACCGCCGACTCATTAATTTCTCACAGATTGAATTTCAGTGTTTGTATGCAGTTCAGTGTGAGAAGCAGCACATCCCATAATCATTTTGTATTTAATATGAACAGACATATTCTTTTGGTTCAGTCCAAACCAAATCCCCAGCACATAAACGAGGTGGTGGCTGAATTCTGTGGCTTCAGAATTTGCACATTTAATAGGAAACAATTTCAAAGCCTCTGCCAGTCATTGGAAAGGCCGTTCCATTCTGCTTTTTCCACAGAGCAAAATCTTTCTGAGAACAATGCTTATTATTGATAGGTTTAAAGCCCCTCAGGTGCTCGCCCATTGTGTGTATTGCTGTCACTCTGTCTTCTGAGCAGTGGGGAAGCAGTGATGGATAACACAGAGAATAATACATGATTCTTGATTGAATGTGAAGCTATAATTCAGTCTTGGGGTTCTGCTGACGTCACAGTGCGTGAGAACACAGCTCAAACAGGTTTTTTAAAAAACCAGGCAATCCTTGTACTCAGATATGGAGCCAGCGGATCAAGACTCACATTCCAGTCCTCCTTGAGTGGTTTTCAAAGGTAATCTAGGACGAGGTCCACTGTGCCCCCAGGTGGGCAACAAGAGAAACTAGCACAGAGCCTGCTGCGGCTCCTAGCCTGTTCACTCCTCGCGTTGTTTTGTGACAGGCGAATGAAAACTCTCAGATGTGAAGAATAGAACTCTCTTCTCTCGACCCTTCCAAGTGTCCTCTAATCCAGGGTTTCTGAAATTTCTCCGGTGAGAAGTATTGCCTGAAACCCTTTTAAAAATAGAGCTTCCCAGGACTCTCATCCCTGGAGATGCAGATTCAGTGGGTTTAGGGTGTGGCCTGAGAATATGTATATTTAACAAGTAGTCCAAGCTGATTCATTAGGAGAGTGTGCAAACACCCTGAGCAGTCTCTCTCGGTGCCTTGTCTCAGAATTTCTTCTGCACTTGCAAGCTGCTTGACACAATTTAGGAATCAATATGATATTAGTTTATGTTGCCCTCTAGTTAAATGAGAATATTTTTGCAAAAGATTTAACATGTGACACATATTTCATCTCAATAAATGAAAATTTCTTCCCTTATTCTTTTGGTTGTCTCATCTATCAGAAACTTGTCCTCCCAACCTCGATGCTAACAACTCAAGAGTGAAGACCGGGCTGCCTCTTTCCTCTACAGGCCCTGAGGTAGTAAAGTAAGTATTTGATAATGAGGCATTGATTGATTGAAGCTGTCAGAGGCAGGATGAGACCTGCAGATCCTTTTCTGTTCACGCTTTATTTGAAGGTGGAACCCATCTAGAGCTATAAAACTTCCGAGGGGTAGCGGGGAGTGATTCCCTTTTCAGGCTTAGTTGGCCCAGGCCAGACCTCCCGTGATCCCTTGAGCCTTCCAAAAATGAAGAAGAAGAAGGAGAAGGAGGAGAAGCACGTTGGAAGTGCTTCACACGTGCCAGGCACTGTTCTCAGTGTTTTAAACATAGTAACTAATTTAATCCGCCCAATATTCTTATAGGACAGGTTCTATTATTATTGTTTTCATTTTACAGATGAGGAAACTGAGGCACAAAGAGGTTTAAAGATTTGACTAAGGACACTGCTAATAAGTAGCAAGGCTAGGATTTGGACCCACATAATCTGCCTTTAACCGTCTTCTGTACTGCATTTATTAGGAACGTGGTAAGTTACTCATAGAGTCCTAGAACTATTATAGCACCGTGGACGTAGTCTAATCTAAACTAATTTACAAATAAAAAGACTGAGACCAAAGAGGGGAATTGACTGACAGAAAGTAACCCCGCTGGATTCTCTCCCCAACCCCTGATCCTGACTTTACTCTCCTTGTGATCACATCAGGGTTTGAATGTCTCTGCTGGATACTGCTCCTGCCTAGTGCAGGCCTCCTCTTGTTGAAACCATGCAGTATTCTGGATGTTACCAGCACAAAATGTAAATATAGAGCTGGGCTTGCAAGAAAGAAAGGGACGTCTTGATGCCAGACACAAAGAGATAGCTGCAAACCCGAATAGGAAACTCGACTCTCAAGCAGATACTAAGGTGGCTGTGGGCAGATATGAGGCCCAGATGGAGCCCATGGGGTAGGCGCTGGAGTTGGTGTTGCTGTTACCATGTAATAGATCAAACAGGTACAAGATTCAAAAGATACAGAAAGTATCCGATGAATACTAAGGCTCTCTTCTGCCCTTGAGTCCCAGAGGCAACCAGGATTTTCCACGCTCTTTGAGATGTAGTCTATGCCAATGCAACTACATACATTTACGAGTTCTTTTGTTGTTGTTGTTTACACAAATGGTGGCATACTATACAGATTATTCTGGAGATAGTTCTATGTCAGTATCTATGCAGCTGCCTCATTCCTTTTGTGGTTACATAATGTTCTATTTTATGGCTGTATCAAAATTTAAGCAGTTTCCTATCAGTGGAAGACAAGTTGTTTGCATGTATGTTACTTCTCTTTTTGTGACTATATCTGTGGCGCAAATTTCCAGAAGCAGAATTGCTGGATCAAAGAATAATTTTAATCAATAAAGATTGTGTTAATTCACATTCCCTCCAACAACCTTTGAAATTGATTTTTTCCTCATATTCTCAACAAGCCAATGTTTTATCCAAATTTTTGTCTTTTGTCAATCTCACATGTAGTTTTCCTTTGTATTTCTTTTCTTATGATGAGGTTGAGCACCTTCTCATATATTTAGAGCTGTTCATTTTCCCCTTTCTCTAATCTGGCTATCTGTATCATTTGCCCATTTTTACTATTAAGTCTTTTTCTTATAGTATTGTTGAAACACTTTATATATTAAGGAAATTAGCCCTTTGATTGCAATATGTAAGGCAAGAATTTTTTCCCAGTTTATTTGCTTTTTGACTTTAAGATAGTCTTTACTACAAAGAATTTTAAAAAAGTTTTTATGAGTTTAAATTTATCAAAGTTTTCTCTTATGGCTTCTGAATTTTATGTCATACTTAAAGAGTCCTTTCCATTGCAAGATTATATAAAAACAAATTCTCTCATGTTTCTTCTATAACTTTTATGAATCATTAAAAACAATCTTTGATCCATCTGGAATTTATTTTAGTGCAAGATGTACAATGGATCAAAGTCATTTTTTAAAACCAATTGTCCCAACACCATTTGTTAAATTATCTGGAACCCATGTATATTACTCTACTAATGATGTACTCAAAAACTGGAAAAATGGTGACCACCATCGGTTGTTCCTAATTAGGTAAATTTTGAAAGAGAAAGAGGGAGGTGGGGCAGGGAATGAGAAAGAGAGAGAAATGTTTGGCCAGGAATCCAAATTTAGACTAGAGAGTTGGAATAAAGACCCAGTAAGCTTACAATGAATTGATCCTGATTAACTCCACTCAGCATGGTTCTCTTCCTCCTTTGACAGTCAGAATCTATGTTCTATAGATGATTCTGCTTTTCTGAGGAGAAGAAAAAGGGGGAAAAAACCCTCTTTGATAGGGTTGAGGTGGCATAATATTTTTATGTATTAACTGAATTTTTTCATATATTAACTATATTTTTTGTTTTTAGCAATTTCTTTATTTCTTGTGGTACCATTCCCTCATTCAACTAGATTGTGAAGTAGAGTTTGCTGCAAAAGAAAAAATAATTTTTTTAATTGTGGTAAAACATACATAACATAAAATTTACCATTTTAACCATTTTTAAGTGTACAGTTCTGTGGCATTAAGTTCATGTACATTGTTGTGCAACCATCATGACCATCCATCTCTAGAACTTTTTCATCTTCCCCAATAGAAACTCTGTACCCATTAAACATTAACAGCCGACATCCCTTTACCCCCAGCTCCCGGCAACCACCGTTCTACTTTCTGTCTCTATGAATTTGACTCCTCTAGGTACCTCATATAAGTGGAATTATACAATATTTCTCCTTTTGTAACTGGCTTATTTCACTAAGCATAATGTCTTCAGCTTCATCCATGTTGTTGCATATGTCAATTTCCTTCCGTCTTAAGACTGAAGAAATTCATTGTATGTATATACCACATTTTGTTTATCCATTCATCTATCAATGGACACTTGAGTTGCTTCCACCTTTTGGCTATTGTGAAAAATGCTGCTATGAACGTGGTGTACAATATGTACATGTGTACATGGTTTGAGTCCCTGCTTTTACTTCTTTTGAGTGTATACCCAGAAGTGGAATTGCTGGATCATACGGTAATTCTACGTTTAATAGTTTAAGGAATTACCATGCTGTTTTCCATAGCAGCTGCACCATTTTACATTCTCACCAGTAAAGCACAAGGGTTCCAATTTCTCCTCATCCTCATTAGCATTTCTTATTTTCCGTTTTTTGGATAACAGCCATCCTAATGGGTGTAAAGTGATATCTCATTGTGGTTTTGATTTTCGTCTCCCTAATGACTAGTGATGTTGAGTAACTTTTCATGAGTTTATTGGCCAATTGTGTATCTTCTTTGGAAGAAAAAAGTATTTTAAATTTCAAAAATTTAGTTTTTGGATGAGCAAAATCTTTAGGAGGGCGGGGGGTGTGATAAAGATAATTGGAATACAGCTGCTTGGGTCATTTGGAGGGACTAGAAGAGGGGAAAGAGTCAAGGGAGAAGCAAGAGCATTCAACAGGATGGGTGGGCTAGGGAAGGGACCTCTGCCTTACCACCCTCCTCCCCCAGGCAGAAATTCTGGAAAGAGAAGGACAGAAACCCAGATAGGTTTGGGGGGATTCAAGAGCAGAGACAACCTGTGCCCAGTTTGTCGGTGAGGTCTATGGAGAGGCAAGACCTCAGATGGCATGGAAGACTAGAGTAGACACGGCCAAGAGGAGTCTGTGGATGGATGAGAGATAGGCACGTAGGATGGCCCATAGCAGAGCAGTGGGGGAGGAGCAGAACGCCCTTTATGAGCCCATGCGATGCAGCGGTCCTCACAAGGAGGACACCGCAGTGACCTAGGTAGACAGATGACTCACTCCAGGGATGCCAGTACAGTTAGCTGACTACTGAGGCTGTGATAGCCCCCTCCCCAGCCCCAGGGCCTTGGCCCTATATAAACCTCTGGAGCAAGAATGCAGCCTCAAGGAAATGCGAGGGAAAACCTGCACTGTCCAAGGCTGACCCTGCCAGAGGGGGCTTGTCATAGAAACACACCTCAATAATAAAAACAGAAAAGACTTTTCTTGCATACTTGACTTTGGGGGCGAGATTTATAACTCCTGGAGGTCAAAACTGAAGTCATTGCCCAATTGGAGAAGCATCTTAGACCACATGTCCGAGAGAAGAGGACAGACCCTGATGAGCAGCTCATGGGGCAGCAAAAGTGGGTTAATAATGAGGATAATATTCCTCCATCTTGAAGCACATTAAATTTCAGGGCACTTTTGCTCTGTAACCTAATTTGGTCGTCAACATTGTGAGGTGATAGAGGCAGATTTTATTCTCATCCCTATTTCCCAAATGAGGACACTGAGAACAACAACAAAAAAACTATGCTTGGGCCGAAACTATCCAATATACTAGAGCAGGTTTTTCTCGACCTCAGCGCTGTTGACATTTGGAACTGGATAATTCTTTGTGTGGGGACCGTCCTGTGCCTCGTAAGATGTCTGCAGTCTCCCTGGCCTCTGCCCACTAGCTGCCAGTAGCACCCCCCAGTGGTGACAACCAAAACTGTCCCCAGATATTGCCACATGTCCAGTGGGGGGCAAAACCCCACCCACCTCACCCACACCCCCGTCCCCTGGTTGAGAACCGCTGAACTAGAACAGGGGCCCAGACTCAACCCGGTGTCCTGACTCCTAATCCAAAGTGCACAGAAGAAACCCAGTGCTCCTCCCCCACCCCAACCCCAGCCTGCCTGAAACCACTTTAAAATGTTCTCATAGCGTTTTACCGCTGAAAGGGACCTTAGCATTCACCTTACCCTTTACATTTACATGTGAAAACACTGAACTTCAGAAACTCTCAGATATTTGTCCCAGAACACACAGCTGGCCTGCGGGGAAGCTGTACTTGAACCTGGTCTACTATGTCACATCGGGCCTTGACCTGTTACCGCAATGACGTCTAAAGCTCACCTTGGTTCAGAAATACTCCAGAGCAGCCTTGGGAAGAAAAGCAGGATATTTCCTGGCCAGCTGTCCCTCTATAAAGGGATATTTTTAGCAAAAAGGGGGGAAATCAGCATTCAGCTCAATTGAAAATACGTCTGGCATTAATTCACTGTTAATTGACCAGGATGAGTAAAAAGATGGCTACTTCCAAGGCCTCTCTAATGGAACTATTAGTGAATTTTCAGGTCAACTAACTCCTGTCACTGCCTGACAAGGGAAATGGCAATCATTTGCCAGTGCTCGCAAGGCTCTCGCTGCTCTTGAAACCTGGAATCAGTCATCCTGGGCTGTCAGGCTCTGTGTCTTCACTCCGTGTGTAATTCCCCACCCCACTCTCCTCCACGCAGAGACCCCTAACTGCACTTGGACAACCTCCAGTTTGCCTGAAATGTACATAATTTTTGCCACTTCTGATGGGCTTTCATAGAAATCTGGTTTGATCCTTCCTACAATGCTATAGTTTAGTGAAAATTACCACCTGTCCCTCCCACTCACCGACGTGGAAACTGAAGCTCAGGCAGTTGCTTGACTCGCTGAAGTTTTCAAGATGGTCAATAGCGAGGCCGGATTTCACACTGGGTCCAGCAGTTGGTCCTGTGTCCTCACATCTTGGTGGCTTTACTCTGCACCATCCTCTGCACCGTCTCCCTTCACCTTCTCTCTTTCTTTCTGATGACACTCTTTTTTTCTATACAGTTTTCCTTCATTCAAAGTCTAAAGGGATGTAGAGTTGGGATGGTTAGAGAAACAGGAAACCATTTCAGTTACTATAACTAAACACAGTTTTCTCATTTAACAAATATTTCTTGAGGATTTACTTCTAGGAACTCTTCTAGCTGCTGAGGAGGCCTGATTCATAAGCTAGAGGCCAAATCCTCGGCGTGACCTCCGAGGCCCACCATAATTTGGTCCTAAATGACCTTTCCAGCCTCACCTTGAGCCACCTCTTGTCACACAATGTACACACCAACCACCCTAACATAATCCCCGCTCTCCAAACCTGCCGAGAGCTCTCACTCTCTCTTCTCTCTGCCTTTGCATGGGCTGCTTCCTCTGTCCGGGGTGCCCTTCTCCCTCCACCATCTGGCAAACTCCTATTCTTACATTAAGGCCCTTTCAGGGGTCACCTCCTCTGTGAAAGCTTCCCTGCTTTCCACAGCAAAGCTGGTCGTCACACCTCTTTTTGCTGTGATGGTTTGCTCATACTTCTATTGTAAAGCGTTCATACTGTATTATTTGTATATTATTTATAATAATTATTATATTCGTGTCAGACTCACATGCATGATCCTGGAAGGCAGGGGTCATGGCTTACGTAACGGAGTATTCCCTTGTCTGGTACACGATGGGTGACTGATACACATTAGTGACTAGACTCAACCGCAAATCAGAAAGAAAGGCAAAAAGGCACTGAAATGCTGTAGCCCAATGTAACTTAAACAACTAACTTATAACTTATTAGTTACCATCAGACACAAGGACTCAAACTTGTTCTGGTCTTTTGTTTGGTTAGGGGACAGGTCTCCTTTTCCTTTACGAGCCCTTTAGAGCAACAGCTTCTGTGATTGTCTTGAGTGGATTCCAGGGAAGAAGAAAGCAATCAGTGATAGTGCTGATCACATTCCTCCCATCACTGCTGACCTGCGACCAAGTCTCCCCACCAACGCACAGCGGGGAGGTAAGCAATTCTCCAGGTACCCCAATAGACTTGGCTCTGGCAGCTAGCAGCAAATGTGTGTGGAATATTCACAGAATAATGACAGCATTGTATGGCACCTTTCAAAGCACTTTTACAAATGCTATTCCTCTCGATAGTCGTGAAAGGCAGTTATCCTCACTCTACAGATGGGAAAACTGAGGCTCAGAAACGTGTTCAAAGTTACTAAGCTCGTAAGTGGTGGAATCAAGATTCAGATGCAGGTCTTCTGACTCCGAAGCCCGTGTTATTACCAGTACACCAGGCTGTTCTTTGAGGACAGGACGTGTATCGTTTATTCTTGTGTCTTCCACAGCACCCGGAATAGTGTGCAGACTGGGGACTCACTGTGCTTGCAAAGTGGATGTATTTGACATACCAGGTTAAAAATTCGTCTTCCTCTCTGTTTGATTTGTTCATTCATCCAGCTACTTTTATTCATCCCGTTTGTATCAAGTTTATGCATTCCTGCAATTGCCTGCCACTGTGCTCAGCACTGAAAATTTGAAGATGAAGAAGACACACTTATCTCTGTGTCTCCAGCACCTGGCACATCGTGGGTGCTTAACAAATCCACAGCAAACTCAGGATCTCTTATACACAACTGAAGTAATATTGAGCTGTGTTCTCCTTTCTTTCACCTCATCTTCACATCTGTCTATTATCCTCTCTGACAACATATGGGGACACTGAGCATCGGTGGAATCTAATTCCTCTGCCACAGTGAGGCTTGGATTTAAACCCAGGTTGCATATCTAAAATACTAATTTGGTGCACCTTCTAGAAGCAACTGTGTTGTAATGGGCAGAGTCCAGATCTGGAGTCAGAAGACCCATTGTGAATCCCAGCTCTGCCGCATACTAGCCCTGTGGCTTTGGAGGGGTCCCAGAGCCTCTGGGACTCAGTGTTCTCCACATAAAGTGAAAACAGAATATCCACCCTGGGGCCAGCCCGGTGGCGCAAGCGGTTAAGTGTGTGCGCTCTGCTTCGGCGGCCCGGAGTTCAAGGGTTCGGATCCCAGGCGCGTACCGACGCACCGCTTGTCAAGCCAGGCTGTGGCAGCGTCTCATATAAAGTAGAGGAAGATGGGCATGGATGTTAGCCCAGGGCCAGTCTTCCTCGGCAAAAAAGAGGAGGATCAGCATCGGATGTTAGCTCAGGGCTGGTCTCCCTCACAAAAAAAAAAAAGAATATCCACCCTGCTGACCACACAGGGTTATGGTGAGGGTCGTGAACAAGTACGAGAGGAAGTGTGAGAAGAACTGATCCAAAGCACTGACCCAGGCCTCCTCCTGAAAGGGCTGTGGGGTCCCCAGCCTGTCCCCCTGAGCACCAGTGCAGGGCTTGCTGACATCCCTGGGAAGCAGCCAATTTAGATCCTTCTTAACAACCAATTCTTGAAACTTAAGACTTTATAAAGAAAATAATAAAAATCAATGGATGCTATTGACTCCTCCTGTTAGAACATGCTAATTACATTTATTCAACTTTAGGAAATGTGTGTGTGTGTACTTGTGTGCTTGTGTGTGTGTGTGTGTGTGCACCTGCACATTTGTGTGGATGGGGTAGAAAGAGCGTTAACTCAGACAGAACTGCCTTTAAATCCCAGCTCAGTCCCACGTTCATTAACTGGATGACTTTGGATAAGTTATTAAGTCACAGAAACCTCAATTTGCTAGTCTGTAGGATGCAGATAACAGGCTGTATGGGAGTGAAACAAGACTAAATGCTGCTAGGGTGACCCTAGCTTATTGCTCGATAATAGTAGCTTTTGCTGTCATCAACTTTATTATCTACAAATAACATGCATTCTGGTCTGGTATTGACTCTAATCCTTTCTCAAGAGAAAACTATCCTGTTCAGGTCCCCTCTTTTGTCATTGTGGTTACATATTCCCTTCGAATTCTCTTTTCTGTCCCGTATAGTTCAGATTTGAAAATGTTGTCTCTTGGGTGCTGGATCTTTAAAATTATTTTATAGAATTTTCAGATTATCTGTAATTTTTCCAAGTTAAGATTTTAAATCTTTATCAATTGTGTTCTGTAATTCTAATTCTTGCATTTCCCAATTTACTATTCTATAATTTTTGCCAATAAGGGAAAATTTCTACTACTAAATTTCTACTACTACTCCAAAGAATATGACACACCACCCCAAAGTTATCACCTCTAGGTTATTTTTGTGGCCCTATTAGACAACTCCCCATGGCGAGAGCATCCTGGGATTCTATTCTTTTATGACCACTATAATGGGATACTCAATATTACATTAACTGTAAAGAGCTATACAAATGTTAGTATTTGATGATTAAGTTATGGGCAAAAATTAGGAAAGTTAATATTTTACAAATCATTGTTAAGGCCTCTGAATCTCATTGAAGTTTAAATAGTCTTGTTCGCAAATAAAATAGAAAAAAAGAACTTCCAATATATGCACACCGTCTTGCCCCTCACTGCTAGAATAATCTTTCTTTCATTATGTCTTCTCACTACTCAAAACATGCAGTTGTACACCACTGCCTTGGCATTATCCAAACTCATTATTCTGGAAGGGCATCCACAACTTCCCAGCATTCCTTCCCAACCCCATTTCCTGCTACCCATTCCTCGTCTCCTCCCTCTACCCCATGTGGAGCTTTTTTTTTTATTGAGTTAACACTGGTTTATAACATTATATAAATTTCAGGTGTACATCAGTATATTTCAATTTCTGTGTAGACTACATTGTGTTCACCACCCAAAGACTAATTACCATCCATCACTGTACATATGTCCCCTGTCATATCTTTTGCCCTCCTCCCTCCCCTCTTCCCCTCCGGGAACCATCAATCTAATCTCTGTATCTAAGTGTTTGTTTGTTGGTAATGGTATTTTTATCTTCTAATTATGAGTGAAATAATATGGTATTTGACTTTCTCTGTCTGACTTATTTTACTTAGCATAATACCCTCAAGGTCTGTCCATGTTGTTGCAAATGGCAAGATTTCATCTTTTTTTTATAGCTGAGTAGTATTCCATTGTGTATATATATACCACATCTCCTTTATCCATTCATCCATTGATGGGCGCTTAGGTTGTTTCCAAGTCTTGGCTGTTGTGAACAATGCTGCAGTGAACATAGGGGCGCATATATCTTTACGCATTGGTGTTTTCATCCAACGAGCTGCTGTGTGCACTGTTCATGAGTTATTCCACGCATATTCCTGCTTCCTTGCCCTTGATGAAGCTATTCCCCTGTTTCATGTCCTCTTCACCCCACACTGTCCACCCAGCTTTAAACCTTCTTCAAAGCCAAGCTAAGTATGTACTTTCTTTTTTATTTATTTATTTTTATTTTTTGTGTGTGTGTGAGGAAGATCAGCCCTGAGCTAACATCCATGCTAATCCTCCTCTTTTTGCTGAGGAAGACCGGCTCTGAGCTAACATCTATTGCCAATCCTCCTCCTTTTTTTTTTCCCCCAAAGCCCCAGTAGATAGTTGTTTGTCATAGTTGCACATCTGTACTTTCTCATATATCACTTTTGCCCTTCAACTCTGAATTACCAACCATCAACACCACTCATTTGACAATTGATTATGTAACCATAGTAGTTTACCAGTGGTTTCACAGAGGTTTTCTCACTTAATAATAAAGACAGCTGCCTCTTATGGAACACTAGCATGGGCGAGGCGCTCGGCTGAGTGCTTGTGAACATCCTGTTTAATCCTCATGGTTACTCTAGGTAGGAGGTCCCCCATTTGCAGATGAAGAATCGGAGGCATAGAACAGTTTTGTAAGTCACCCAAAGTCACAGAGTTGATAAATGGCAGAGTTGAGGTTCACACTCATGTCTGATTGAATCCAAAGCCCAGCCTTTTCACCACCACACGTACCGGCTGCATTTTATGGTGTAGCACAAAGGTCAATGATGCAACCAAGGCTGGTGCATGATAGCCAGCTCGGTTTAAGCCCAGACAGCTTTTTTTTTTTTTTTTTTTTTTTAAAGATTTTATTTATTTATTTTTTCCCCCAAAGCCCCAGTAGATAGTTGTATGTCATAGCTGCACATCCTTCTAGTTGCTGTATGTGGGACTCGGCCTCAGGATGGACGGAGAAGTGGTGCCTCGGTGCGCGCCCGGGATCCGAACCCGGGCCACCAGCATCGGAGCGCGCGCACTTAACCACCAAGCCATGGGGCCGGCCCTCCAGACAGCTTTTCAATGTACTAAGTATATGACATCGCCTCTTACGGTGTTTAACTTTTGTTTTGTTATATGACCTAACATACAGGGTTGTCTACATACAGCTTAAGATTTCTGAAGACAATGATTAGGTAACAGAGGGTTTTTGGGCATCAGAAAAATGACTGGCATTTAATGCACCAGAAATGGGCTGATGATGTCTGTGGGGTCTTGGGGTGGGAGGAAACGGGCTGCTGTGGGGTGCAGATACCCTCTGCTCAGTGAATCTGGGACAAACTCCATGGACTTCTCTTTGAAGAGTGATTATCTCGGTATTGAAAAGACCTGCTTTTGTTTGTTTGTTTGTTTAAAGCAAAAGCAGTCTTTGCCATGACTTCTTTTTGTTCAGCTACCACCAATGTTACTCTCTCTAGCCTCCGGGACTAGTGGGGAAGGCGACCAGGGAAAGCCAGCGACTGTGAAAGTAAGAAAACTGGAGGTCCAGAGAAAACATACAAGTGCCCCATTCTTTTCAACACAAGACCAGATGCTCAGCAGCCGGTATATGTAGAACAAAAGCCACGGCAATATCACAGTAATAAACATTTTACATACCTGCAGCTGCTGTAACAGGAAACTCGAACGTGAATGGCTTGCAGTGCCCATGTGGGGTGTGCTGTGGCTATGCCTTTCACATGTGTCTTGCATATGGCACCCGTAAGTACAGCATAAAAGATGGAAACACAATCAAATCTCTTCTTTTTCACTTTTCGGGGCGGGCGGGGTTGGTGTGGGGAAATGTTGCAAATAATGGCTACATGAAAACTGAGGGGAATTTGTAAATGACTTTGCATATAGCTTGTTGTGGTGTGGTAGCCTTAATAATAAGCAAGCAGAGTGCCTGCACGGAATAGAGTGCTCATGGTGGAGTTTCCGTCTTGGTCATAGTATCTGACAATTATGTAAGATTCTATACACATGCACTGCAGCCCCAGCCAACTCATTCTCCCAGGTTTGCTTACATCTGTCCATCTGCTAACTTTCTGCTCAACCTCTAATTCTGGGGTGTAGGATGTAGAGGCTCATTGTTGCCTCACACCTACCCCATATTCTCCAACTACTTTTATCTGTAATAAAGCTATATTGTGATCTCCACTTGCCTACCTCCTGTGCCTATCTCAACTGGTGCAGGACTCAGGTAGGGAGAAGAGGGGTCCTATTGATTGGGCCTCCCTCAAATCCCAGTGGTGAAAGTGATGACAAGGGATGGAAAGCATCTCATACAGGTCCTGGGACAACAAAGGAGAGCTGCTCTTAACTGAGTGATTGGGTCAACAGACCCACTCCCACTTGAGCTTCCCTAAAGGTGGAGAAGACCCAGCAGGTGGGCCTGGCAGATCATGAAACCCAGAGGCTCCAGGACCCCATAGAAACTTTGGGAAGGGATCCAGCATTGCCGCTGTGAGCTGAGGACTGCCACTACGAGCCACAGAAAAGATGTCGTTGGGAGGGTGGAGATTATTATGATGTCGTTATGATTATTCCTCTACACCCCAACATACCTGACTCCCACTGCACTACTAATGTCACACACACACAGATGGGAGCTCTCCGAGAGCAGGGACCTTGTTGATCTTGTTCAACACACTGTCGCCAGAGTCTAAAACTGTGTCCAGTGCATTGAAAGCATTCAAAGAGTGCAGTTGTTGAATGTATTCAGTCATTTGCTCGTTCATTCTGCAAACAGGTACTGAGTGCTTTCTACGTGCTAGGCACTGTGGTGGGCCTTCTTACGTGCGATGTGTTGGAAAGAGGCCAGAGTTCTGAAACCGCCCCTGCTTTCTGGCTCACCGCAATGGATGTACCCTACTGGGTCTCGGTTCCCTTACCTACAGAACGAGGGACTGGCCACGCGAGCTCCTCCGTCTCGTCCACAGCCACCATTTCCTGAGGATGGAGGCTGACCCTCCATGGCCACAGGGAAGCAATCCACGTGTTCAGTGAACTCCTTCTTGGCCTGTGAGTTTGGTGGCAAGGAGGCTGTTTAGCCAACGATGTTTGGTGGGCTCATACCACAGAGGAATGTTTTTCTGGACCATGACTCGTTAACCCTGCCTCTATGCTTCTGGGATTTATTTAACCCTTCAGAACTTTGTGCTTCTCTGGAGTTTGAGAAAATGTAGTTTTTCTTCCAGTGTACTGCACTGGAGTGGCTCCAAGCGTGGTGGGCCTTTGTCTTTATTTGATTGTTTACCCAGAATGTTATGTTTTGGAATTGCTTTGGGAGGAGGCATTAACAGTTGACAGGATGCTCAATGGGAGCCCGTCACACTGCTCCTCCACGAGGTTTCTTGGGTAGGTTGGAGAAACCATAAATCCAGAAGGCATAAAAGAAATTTGAGAAAGAAGTCATCCAGTCTCTTTGTCACATGCAGTTGCCTTTTTCTTAAAGAAGAGAAAGAGTCATGTGTCCCTGAGCCCCAATATGTGAGGTGACCCCAGGAACTCTTTCTCTGCCGCAGAGAGCAGATTCATCTGAACATCTGGTTACAGTCCACACCTGGTGGCCACCTGGTCTCTCTAACTGACTATGGGCCCTGGAGCTCCCACTAACAGACTGTGGGCCCTTGAGCACTTGTTTTCCCTTTCTGAGCCAAAGTCTTCTTCTAAAGCTGAGGCGGTCGGTCCAGTGACCTTTGAGGTCTCTTCCAATTCTAACGTTTTGTGTGTCTGAGATTCAGTGTCGTGCTTCTGACTCTCTGGAGACCCCCGTGACTCAGATCTGGCCTGCTGAGATCTCCTTGGATTTGATCCTCTTCTGCCTTAGACCTAAAGCAGGTGTGGGAAGACTTTTTTGGTAAAGGTCCAGATAGTACTTAGTAATATTTTAGACTTGTGGTCATACAGTCTCTGTTGCAACTACTGGACTCTGCCATTAGAGCCAAAAGCAGCCATAAACAACACATAAGGGGCTGGGTGTCGCTGTGTTCCAGTACCACTTCCTCTACAAAAACAGGTGACTGGCGCACTGGCAGTAGTCTGTGACTCCTGACCTAGAGGATCCTCGCGACACTGCCACCTCCCCCGTCCTCTCCCTGACTCCCATCCACACAGGTCCTATACACCCTTCCTACTATACCCTGGCTTGATGGTCAAGTAATTGCAAGATGGTGGTGATTAGTCCCCTTTTCAATATGTAGCAGCCAAAATATATTGGTTTGGTTTGGTTTATCTAGCCATTTATCCACTCATCCTTTCTTTCATCCATTCCATTCCACACACATTTGCCAATCACCTACCACAGGGCAGAGGCCCCTGAGCTATGGGAATAAGGGAAGGGCTGTCCCCAGTCTGGCAGGGAGCCCGGCCCTCCAGTGAGAGCTGCCCAGGCCTCTCCAGTCCGCTGTCCCGCTTCCTTTCCTCCCTTTTCTTATTTGCCCAGGGTCCTAAGAACCATTGGCATCTAATTGTCTCAACTTTATTCAGTTTGTAAACAGGCCCACCTCCTCTACCTCTACCTACTTCTCTTACCTTGTGGGGGTATTTTCTCCTCAGTTAAATGAGACTTGATGGTATTTTCTCTCTGTCCAAGGAAGACATTACACAAAACAGCAGAAGGGACGCCTCTTAGACTCCGAACAGAAGAAGTAAATTTCCTTTGGGATAGCATTGCCAACACGGAGAGCACTTCCTTCTTGGAGTTTCTGCACGCTCATATAGAATCCCAGCTGAACCGTGGAGGAAATGCCAAAATAGCCAGGTTAGCTGAGTCACTCCTTCAGCAAGAAGATCTCACTAGCAGGAAAAAAAAGGAAAATCAATATTCTTTTGTCTAGGCTAGGAAAAGTGCTAAAGCTATTTAGGTCATTAAAGAGCAATGGCTACAAATAAAAACCAACACCTCTCACGATTAGTAGTAAAGTTACTGTTGAGTTTTATATCTCTCATCAGGAGACACATAAATTTTCAGATATGGCAAACATGGAAAGTAAAATAGATCCCCAAGCCTTGGACACAGAAAATTGAGAAGAGAATGTTCTGATTTGAAGTTATAATAAAATTTTCTGATCAAATATATTGTGTTATTTTTTTTAGGAGAAAATGATTCATTGAATAATAACAGATCATGGTGATGATAAAAGCAATGTTGATTTCCCTCAGAAAATGAATTATTTGAGTGGGTGCATTGCCAATTTCAGACAACAGGAATTCCACTTATTACATAATACATAATTGAGTGAATGAGTGTGCCCATTTCTTTCTCATTTTTCCTTCCATCTTTCCTTTCTCACATGTTTATTGAGCCAACCCTGATGTTTTAAGCACTGAACTAAGTTCTGGAACTAAAGCGAGTCCTTATCACCCAGAGTACATAGTCTACATTAGGATTCACTCTTGGTGTTGTATGTTCTATAGGTTTTAACAAATGTGTAATGACACCGTATCCATCATCACAGAATCACACAGAGTACTTTCACTGCCCCAAAAATCCTCTGTGCTCCACCTGTTCATCCTTCCCTCCCCCCTAACCCTGGGCAACCACTGATCTTTTTACTGTCTCCATAGTTTTGCCTGTTCCAGATGTCATATAGTTGGAATAATACAATATATAGCCTCTCAGATTGGCTTCTTTCACTTACTAATATGCATTTTAGGTTATTCCATATCTTTTCATGGCTTGATAGTTCATTTCTTTTTAGAGCTGAATAATATTCCATTGTCTGGATGGATCACAGTTTATTTATCCATTCACCTACTGAAGGACATCTTGGTTGCTTTCAAGTTTTAGCATTTACGAAAAAAGCTGCTATACAAACATCCATGTATAGGTTTTTGTATGGATGTAAGTTTTCAACTCCTTTGGGTAAATACCAAGGAGTGCGATTGCTGGATGGCATGATTGCTGGATGGTGAGAGTATGTTTAGTTTTGTAAGAAACTGCCAAATTATCTTCCAGAGTGGCTGTACCATTTTGCCTTCCCACCAGCAACGAATGAGAGTCACCGTTGCTCCACATGCTCCAGCATCGGGAGTCGTCAGCGTTCTAATTCTAATAGGTGTGTAGTGGTATCTCACTGTTGTTTTGAGTTTCATTTCCCTGACGACATATGATGTGGAGCATCTTTTCATATACTTATTTCCCATTGTAAGTCTTCTGAGGTGAGGGGTCTGGTAAGGTGGCTCATTTTTTAATCAGGTTGTTTGTTTTCTTATTGTTGAGTTTTAAGAGTTCTTTGTATATGTTGGATAACAGTCCTTTATCAGAGTGTCTTTTGCA